GGATATTGTCTAGAGTAAATAAAACAGAGTAATAACAAGACGACAGAGACTTGCAAGAGACAGTAGTTTCGGAGCTGTCAACACAAGAAAGCAGTAGCACAGAAGGCAATAACGAGGGAATAACCGATATGGAAAAGGCAGGGGAGATTTAACATGCTTTCACAAGTTATCAACCTACCCTCTAGCGTAGCTAACATTTATTAGTGCCAAGCTCGACTCGGTTCCCTTCCGAGACACCCCAAACATGAGTAAGTACAACTCTCATTGCTAAATACCAAAGCAATAAACCCAAGTTATAGGCGTGATTAGATGACCCCATTCATGAGTATCACTATAGCTATAGAAAAACGCTAATCACAAGCAAAACAAATCAGCACTCATAAGTCCGTCTGGGTCACTACAGAAGCTAGCAAACACGAAACAGCGGCCAACAGTAACACGGAGATTAAGAAATAAAATCAGATTTGCTTAAAAATAAATGTAGTAGCTAGGGGTTCGATCTCAAGTCGGTTACAACATGTAAACCTCCCCCAAAATGGGGTTTAGCTCATAATGGGTAAAGAAAACAAAATGGAAGAATAAGAAATACAACCCATAGCAGAAAAATAGCTAAATGACAGAGAAGAAGAAGCAGTCAGCTCGTTCCAGCAGGTGACATTCCCCTTTCTAGCGTCAACTCTCCTCCAAAAAATAGGTATATTCCATTTCCTTGTCTTTTCAACTCTCAATTTTTGTCTCTCTTGGGATCTGTGTGTCTGTCGGCTAGGGCAACATACCCTTTAAATATCAGGTCTCGTTTTTAGGACACCCGACTGGAGATTGTATGGACATAAGTGAATCCCATGTTTTTTAATTAACTGTACAGACACTCATGCTCTGGCATTGCTATGCTCCAGCATTTATATGCTTTGCCTTGAAAATGCCTTGACTTCTCTGCTCTGGTTCAGCAGTTCCTTCTCTTCTTAGCTCTTCTTTAAAAACTTGTGCAAATGAACCACAAATACGAGTGGTTACGCTGTTTCTGGTCAAACATTAGCATTAGAAAAACTACAAAGGCATTCCAGGCCGACTACAAGACTAGGACTGTAATACAAGTCATGAGCGATAGCGAAGCCAAGCCGGATCGACTTTTTTATGTCGAAAGCCATTAGCATTAGCTCCCCTCTCACCAAAGCTTCCGAACTTGCCAAGAACTTCATGGAAGAAGAAAAAGCGGTTCACCAGCCACTACATCTGTGGATCCCACCAAATCATTAAACCTAGCGGCAGCTCGCCCGCCCCCATAACCACACGGGAGGGTAATGAGATTAAATTGGATGGTCACGCTTCTTCGAGAACGGTTTTTCCCTCAATTTGAAAGCAGGTTCAATGAGTCCAAAGACGCCTAAGGTTTGCTTCCTCTTTTTCCTCTCCGTTTCGGATGTCCAATAATCATTCTGGTCTTGGGAGAGGTAGCGACCATTCTCAAGGACCAAAAAGACTGAGCTGATATAGAAGCTATGTATGGATCGACAATGTATGGATCACTGGCTAACGCTGGTCTCCTCCTTAAATGGCAATCGGTAAAGGTGACGTGCAGACTTGATAATATATACGAATAGAATCGAGGCGGGTTCCCTCACGGTAGGCCCTCCCAGCTCCCGAACGTCTTTCTATCAAAAGAGAGAGGTACAAAATAGTACAACAAACCAACAACTGCGACAAGAAGACTTGTCATTCCCATGGAAGAGAGTTTCCCTACGTATTGACTCATTACCGACTGAACGGGAAATGCTTGCTTCTATTCTTTCTCTCCGAGCGATGAACCGTGGTTGTCTAGCTGCATCCGAAATGGAGAGGAAAAAGAGGAAGCAAACAAGGCTAGCTCACGAAAGAAAGTCTTGCTTTAATAGAGAAAGGGCTTGGCATTTCACTCTTTGTTGTGGGGTTGTCAGGCATCCAGAAGTCTACTTTTTCCATTTGGCCCATATGATAAAGCAAAAACGGCTCCCATAGAAAGTATATAATGGAAATGTGCAACCGTAACCTTTCGCTCCTGGCGCTCACCTTTTTTGTCTGGGTGGAAGCGACAGGGCTTGCTTAACCGGATACACGGAATTAGGATCTCTCTCGCATGCAAATATTTCGATCGGGAATTTAATGGAAATTTAGGTCTCTGAGTTCAACTTGGAGATGGAGGATTCTTCTTTCTTTCCTCTAGCTAAGAATTTTTCTGAGTTCAACTTGGAGATGGAGGATTCTTCTTTCTTTCCTCCAGCTAAGAATTTTTAATTAAACACTATTCATGCTAATTATGACATAAAACCGACATAGTTTACCATTTTAATGCACATTTTTACCCAAATAATCACCAGAATAACTCTCTTTTGGAGAGTTATCATGCATCATCTGTCTCTTAGATCCCCGGCTGGCAACTTCAAAGTGTGACACATAAACAGAAGCTTCTTTCTGGCCCATTGCCACTATCTCGGATCCCCTCATAAGTTTCTAGCTACCCTCTGTGAACTCATTTCTGAAACCATCGCCATCCCGTTTTCCAGCAGATAACAAATTCTTTCTGAAACCTGGAACATACTTGACAACTTGCAACACCAACTCGGTCTCCTGTCGATCTTCTAACAGACGTCTCCAATTCCTCCAACTTTGGAGACACTCCCATTCTCCACCCTTACCTCGTCGTGCTGACTAGTGAAAGATGAGAACCACTTTCCATCTAAAGCTACATGTGTCGATGTTACAGTGTCCACAACCCACTCTGATGGTCGATCTACTGAGTTGCTATCAACACAAGCTAGAAACTCTTCTACTCTTTCTTCTACAACAGTAGTAGAATTCCCATTTTTTTGATCCTCCTTAAGCTTCCTGCAAAACCGCTCAATATGTCCCTTCTTGTGTCAATACAAACATTCCACATCTTCACTGCTGCTCCCACTCCTCTGGCTACTATACTACTGCTTACCCTTGTAGTTCATCTCCTTTTGCCTTTACTCTGAGATACTAATGCTGATTCTAGATTGTTCTCCCCACCAAAAGTGGATGCAGAATTCTTCCCACTTTTTTTTCTTTTAACCTCCACATCAATTGAAGCGTCATAGATATCTGAAAACTTCAAACTCTTATCCCCCAATGAATTTGACACCGTTGTCTTCATTGTCTCCCAACTGTCAGGCAAAGAGGACAACATTTTTCCAACCTTCACCTCATCTAAAAAGGTGATCTACATTGACTCTAGCTTATTCATCAGACTAGTAACCTCATTTATGTGGGAGTTCACTGAGGTACCCTTCTCCATATGGATGTTGAAGTATCTCGTAACGAGATACACCTTGCTATTGGCAAAATGTTTTTCATACCTGTCAGTCAAAGACTTCATCAACCCCATTGTTGTTTTCTGGCTCACCACGTTGATAAATAAACATTGTTTGATGATTACTACTGCTTCATCATCTATCTTTTTCCAATATTTATCTGTTATCCTAGTGGCCAGTAGTTATTTCATGGTCTTGTGTATCTTCTTTTATGTAAGAAGATCTGTCACTTGCATCTTCCAAGACTCGAAATTCTATGAAATCTCAACACCTCCTCGAAGTAATGATGTGACTTCTGACTGGATCCTATGATATTGTAACCTTTGCTCTGATACAACTTGTTGGGAAATTTAAATGCTCCAAATAATTTCCCCTTCCACAATTCTATCCAATTATCTAAGTCACTCACAATTCTATCCAGTCTTCCGCTCAGATGCGGATTCCACTATAATAAGAGATTGGATATAAAGCACTCAAATATCTCCCCAGATATTCACCCTCTAGCGGTCCCAACAAAAAGCCCTCTAGCTTCTAAGTATTATAATGCACTATACTTAGGTACATGAATGAAAAACACTCACTAAACCCACGGGATATAGACTCATTTTCACACATTGCCCACAACCACTTAATTCTCTTTTATTTGGATTGTGTATAAATGAAACCTTAACATAAGAGCTCTATTTACAAGAGACCAAATATCCCAGTTCTTATAGGAAAACAATATTGTAATGCTTATAAGATAATAATATTCTACTTCTTGTAGGAATTGGTAGTAGTGTTGAAAATCATTTTCTTCATAGGACATGAGTTTCCTGCTTTGGCTCAATTATCTAAAAAATATGCTCTGGTTTGTATTTCAAATTTTGAGATATTTCAAATCACTCAACTTTCTTGACGTTTAATAGAGGGTTAGAGGTTGGAAGTTCAAACGTTCGTCCCCATATTTTTTTAGTACAACAAATAAGATGGGCATCCGAACTCACAATCTTTTAGTCCAAAGACATACCTTAACCAATTGAATTATGCTTAGATTGGTACCTCAATCTCCACATCTGTTGTATGTATATATATATAATATATATATATAAAAGTTGTGAAATAATACTAATTTCATATTGGAAGGTGAAATTTTAACATGTCATTTCACAATCCAAATTAAATGCGATATTAATAGGAAAGAATAAATCGCATCCCACAGTCATTTATTCATTATTATTATTTTTTGTAATAAAATCTTTATAATTGTTGTCCCAACTAGTAGGTACATTTATTTTTGATATATAATATAAATAAATTATTAGGTAAACAAACATGGGACCTTATAGATCTCTAGCCTGAGATGATCTAATAGCATATCCAAACTATAAAAACCATAGCATGAGATGATCTAATAGCATATCCAAACTAATCCACTATGAAAGATGAGTAGATTCTCAGTTCTCTCTTTTCTAATTCTCGCAATCTTCCTTGGAGGTTCTATTGTCCAAGTCGATATTAGCTTTCGTTTGTCGGATGCTGATCCCAGATCCTATGGGAAGTTCATCGAAGATTTGAGGAAACATATAAATTGAAAAGATACCACATTCTTATTATTTAATGAAATAAAGCACATCCATAAATTCAAGTCGTCCCTTGTTTTGAACATGCCTTACTAGCTCTTATGTTGGATCTCCAAGCGGAGCCATACAATCAGACAGTAATGAAATTTTCACCTCCATTGTTGAACGGTTTCCCTACGGTTTTATCTTGATCGTCGTGATTAGCAGCAGCGAGTTTGAAATATAGCAGTAGTTTGATATTACTAGTCACAACCAGAGAAGAAACATTGGTTACAGAAAATGGTGTGTTGTTGGGGTTTATAAGCTCCACTGGTTTTTCGAACTGTCCATTTCCCTTGGCTGCTATTTGGATTTGTTTCGAAAGAGCACCCCAATTGTTTTCCAAACTTATGATCGCTTGATCTGGCTTAAATTTATCATCAACATGCGTAGAAATTTCTTGCTCAATATATTTATACCTTGCAGCCTCAGCAACCGACTGGATGAGTACAAGAAGTGCGGCCGCAGTAGATTTGTACTCGTAGTAAACCAAGTTGGTAATGGCACTGCTTAAGGCAGGGAGTCCTAGCTCGATCAAATCTCTTTTTTTGCCTACAATACTCTGAAGTTTATCGTAATTACTAGAATATGGAAGCGTTTTACGATCAGTACCTTCGAATAACACTTTGTAAGCTTCGGGCGACGCATCGTCAAAAAAGTAGGATACATGATCGATGTGATATGCCACAATGTAAACGTTCGTTATGTTTATTGCGACCACGACGGTTTGGTCTGCATAATTGGTGAGATGGACGAATGTAAACGATTTTGGGCCGGATGCAGTAGAGGGCAGCACAGGTATCTTGCACACTGTTGTTGTGGTTGGAACAGCATCCCTCAGCTGTTTGATGAAATTTGTGTAGGATTTTTTGTTGGCACCTGACAATTGGAAGCTAACATCACCCTCGGCTGAAAGAGGGCCAAGTAAGATGGCAAGGAGAAGAGAAAGTGTTGTGAGTTTCCTCATCTTGATAAGTTTGCACATGATAGCAGCTCAGCCTTTGATTTATATAGAGAGGTGATGGCATTTAGATTTTCTTTTTTGTTCTTGAAAGAAAAAATTCTTAACCACTGCTCGATCTCTTCAACGAGGGAGATCAATCATTACCTTTTGGAAGGTAATAGCTACTTCATTCATTGAGTTATTCTCTTGACAAGTGAGTAAGAATGTTAATAATATATACAAATGATCAAATATGATATGTTAAAATTGAGACTTATGTGGGTTATGAGCTAGCATGTGACTAACTTAGTTATTAGTTAAAGTTGGTTATTATTAATTAGATAGTTAATGACATTGATTAACTGCTGTGACCGGTGGGCTCATAAATTCATTGGAATGGATGGGTAGGCGATTTGGCTGAACCACTCAAAAATTGCTCGAGTCTTCTTCTTATATATCCTCTTCGAATTTCTTGATTAATTTAATCTCTTTGTTTTTTAGCCATCAAATGCGTCTGTGAGACAGCCTCAGGAATGTTATTGATAACCCTTGTTTTCGATAAACAATTTTAGTACTATGGGCAAAGCGCGTCATTTCAAGTGGAGGACAGCGAAGACATTTTATATAAAGTCAATGGAACTCTGTGGAGGTCGGTTGGAAATCTGTTATGGTAAAAAATTTCTCCATTTTAGCACTAATTTTCTCCCCTCCTTTTGATGGATAGTTACAAGTACTCGACCTCCACAAATGCTCAGGACTTGTGCCGCAGTGGAGCATCATTAGTTTATAGGGTTTAAAGTTCTTAGTTCTCCACATTTCTAGTTTATTTTACTTTCTAGTCTGGTTTAACTTTCTTTATCCGTTTACTTTTTCTTTTACCATTTTCTCTTGTATTTCGATTTACTTCAATCCCGTATAATGTTCTAGCGAGTTTTAATTCCTTCGAAGCTTGAAAGAGACGGATGTTAAGCTAGGATTCGTATTTTATTGAATTTTCTATGTTAAACATTGTTTTCAATCAACAAGCATTTCGTTCATCTTTACAAGTATATCATGCACTTCCATCATAAGTTTCAATCTGTATGTGAAATGTCTTAAAAAAATCTTTAAAATGCAGCATAGGGAAAATTCATGAGTAGCGCCGACGCTACTTTGTTAACTGGGTGCTACTTGATTGACTCCTCAGCATTCTTCCTTTACCTATTTTCACTACAAAAACAGGGATTTTAATGACACAGTTTTAGAGACACCAAAGGATATTTGTTGCTAAAAGTAATTATCACGACGCCCAGTTTTTATAGACGTCGTTGATATGTTTTATTTAGTGACGCCGTTAGTAAACGGTGTTGCTGTTATTATTATCAGCAGCGCCGCCACAAAAATGCGTCGCTGATATTATTATCAGCGACGCGTTTTATAACGGGCGTCGCTGATATTTCTTTTTAGCAACACCGTTAACCCTTATTTAGGTTTCAGAATCCGGATTCTCTCTCCCATTTCTGAAACCCTTCTTCACTTATTCTTTTCTTTGATGAAGCTGCCGCCGCCCATTCACATTCCTGCCATTGCCCGTTCGCGTTGCTGCCGTCATCGTCGCTCACCAGTGCTGCCGCCACCGGTCACCACACCGTCGTCTATCACCCACGCCGCCGTCGTCATCCACGCTGCACCTTTCCTCCCTCTTTCAACACTGCCGCCGCTTCTTATTTCATTACCGCTCGTCACCGTCGCCTCCTTTACCCACAGCATCCGCCGCCCCTACCGCCGCTCTTTAATTTTGGCTTAATCGATCTATAATTGTTTACTTAATTTTGGCTTAAACGATGTATAATTGTGTACTTATTTGATGCATGTACTTTTAAATATAAGTTTTTGATGTAGTTGAATCGTTGTGACTATCTTGCAGTTATGGTAGTCATAGTTGTGCACAGAGCTTGACTAGATATTGATGCATGTCATTTTAAATATGAGTTTTGATGTAGTTGAATTGTTGTGACGATTTTGCAGTTATGGTAGTTATAGTTGTTCATAGAGCTTGACTAGATATTGATGCATGCCATTTTAGATATGAGTTTTTGATGTAGTTGAATTGTTGTGACTATCCTGCAGTTATGGTAATCATAGGTTGTGTTTGTTAAGTACATTCACAAGGGAGCATTTGTGTTGCTTTTCATTTTGTTTATGAACTTGGTTGGAGGTTAGATGAAATACTCCAAATAGTAAGTAGTTATGTAAGGAGGGCAAAGAGTAGAATTCACCTCCTCTAAGTTAGTTAGTTTTAGTTTGTATGCTTTTATAATCCTATGTTTGTTTAGTGGGCAAGACATTTTGTGTGTTTCTTATACTTCTGATTTAATATTTATCTAACTTCTTATTATATATCATTTTTTTCGGAGGTGAATAGACATTTTAGTGTGATTTTGAAGCTAGTTTGTGGTCTTAGAGAGCACTTAGCTCTTTTAAGACACTTGTTTATGACTTTAACTTATATGGTTTTAGTTTGTAGTTTATGTTCTCGTTTACACGTTGAAGATAGTTTTAATTTATGGTTTCATTATTTTGGCCTCCATATCTCACTTAACCACTTTATTTTGCCATTTTTTCATTTCGTACATTTGTTTATTTATGTAATAACATTTCCGTATATCATTTGATTCATTTCAAGTGTGTAGATCTTGTCTAATTTTGAAAGCTACTTTTGGGACAAACTGAAAATTGAAGTTTATATGGGTTGTTCATGATCTTTTGATGTAGGTTTTTTCTTTTCTTTTTGGATGTAATGACTGGAGCGAGATATGTGCAATTTAATCTATTGATTTTTACTATTCAAAGTTGGATCAATTTATCTTATGTTCCATATTTGCAATTCAATCTTAAAAGTTACTTTTGCAATTCAAATGATTTTGGAGGTTCCTATGAAAGTATTGTGGAATTTGTAGGTGCAAATTATTTCAGAGATGTAAAAGGGAAATTAATTGATAACTAATTAAGATTGTCCCTTCAGAATTGTTAGTAAGAGACGATTTCAAACCGTTTTCTACGACAAAATGAACATAAAAAAGAATTAATTAACATTATTAGCGACAAGGCATTATAGTCACTCTTGTCGCTAATAATATAATCAGCGACAAGGAGTGCGCGTCACAAATAATTTTATTTGCGAAGATATGCTCATGTCGCTGATAAGTTTATTAGTGACAAAAGCGACTTGTCGCTGATAAAGATATAACCGACGACATGCACGTGTCGCTGATAGGTTTCTTAACGACATGAGGTCCCTGTTGCTGATAACAGTATTAGCGACACAACACGACTTTTGTCGCAAAAAGTATAAATGACGCGTTTTTGTGACAACCTAAGCGATGCATGCTTGTCGCTGATAGTTTTAGCGACAAGAATTGATTTTTAGTGTCAAATTTCCTGCATCTCCAAAAACTTAATTTCTTGTAGTGTTTCTTGAAGTAGGCCATTAAGAAGTTTGCAAACTAAAGCCTAATATTGAAAGAGTTAGGTTAAGTAGATAATAGGTAGTTAATATGAGATGTAATAAAACAAGACACTAAAAATAGGATCTTGGCGCCTTGTTTTATGTGCTTATCTCTAAGCTATACCCATCAAACATAAGAGTGGGTTATTAATTTTTAGGTATTAATAACACATAAACATATGTTTAGTGGTTGTCCTAAGCTCTTAGCAACTCACAGTAGTTTGTGATACGAGCAAAACTCGTTTCAAGTACAAGTCAATAATACACCCAGTGCTATTTTAATCCTCGTGTTGTTACCATCAAAAGGCACGAAGTAAAGAAATTGTCCTTAATTAGTAGCCTATTATTTTCAAAACCAAATACTACTATGACATGTATTTTAGAAAGCAAGAAAATCAATTGCAGTTGAAAGCTTTTCACAATGTATCTGAATTAAAGTCTTTGTGGATTCGATCTAGGAAAACTCATTTTTTCCATACGTATTACTTGAGGATGTGTAACGTATTCTTTTATCTGTCGAAGTAGAGACTCAACACAGTTAGATTGTCGTGTACCTTAAAAGTTTAAGATTTTGAGTAGAGTAGTGATTTAACAAAGAGAACATTATTCTTATATGAAAACTTAGGTAGATGTGACATGTGAAATTTATAGTACAACATATTTTGTTTTAATTATATGAGAGTTTGAAAATTTTAGTTACAAACAAAGATTGAAGAGAATTTTAACTCATCCACATCTATATGTGGCAATCCACATTCTATTGAAACCACAATTTTTTAGACTTCATTTATATATGCTTTTTTTTTTTTTTTACTGCGACTAATT